TTTGGGATACGTTGACCTCTCCAAAGAGTTTCATTTTTTAAAATTTAGAAATTCATACCTGTGTGTTTACCTGTGTGCATGAGCACACAGAGCAATCAACACACTTTTTCTCTTAAGGTACAGAGAATTAATATTTTTGGCTTTGTGGCCTATATGGTCTCTTTCTCAACTACCCCACTCTACTACTTAAGCATGAAAGCATCTACAGACAATACATACATAAATGAGCATGCTTATATTAGATCAGAACTTCATTTATGGGCACTGGAATTTGAATTTCACATAATTTTCACATATCCCAATATTATATCTTTCTTTTGACTTTTTCAACCACTTAAAATTGTAAAAAAAATCTCTTAGCTCACGGGATACCCCAAAACAGGTGGTGGGCCCAATTTAATTCATGGGTCATGGTTTGTTGACCCCTGGTGTAACATATGCACTCACTAATACAGTAAGTGTCCTTCTATTTATCACCTCCTGAGTCATGAGGACAGGTCATCTCTCTTGATGTGAGCACTGTGCTTAATAAAGAAAATAATGGTATGAGATGAGGGGGCAATGTAAACAATGAGATAGCTAAGATCAATGAATTTAAACTAATCTCCAGTTTATCTCAGTGTTTCTCAATCTTGGCTGTATATTAGAATGAGAGGGCATAAAACATCTTGATGCCTTGATCCCATGCCCAGAGAGTCTGATGCAATTAGTCTTGGGTATAGCCTGAGCATGGGGATTTTAAAAACTCTCCCTGTGTTTCTGATGTGCAGGGAAGGGTAAATGCCCCCAATCTCCTGTTGACAAAGACATAGCATTTTTGGATCACCAATTAATGAAAGGCTGAGATATATTCCATTTTTTCCCTTTTCTTTCTCATTTTTAACATCTCATTCCCATTTTACAGGCTTGCCTCATGTTCTAACTACAGCCTTCTTGCTCGTCTTTCCCACATATTTACTTCAGGTCTGAAATAATTTAAGTTAGGAAAGCTCATAAAGCACAAGAAGAACATCAAGAATATCATGCAGTCTCTGTCATGCTATGTACTAGCCTTATGGTCCTAGTGAATGTTAGTATCGCTCATGTTAATGCTGCCTTTTGCTAAATTTATTAGGGGAACACTCATTTAAGTATGCAGGCACATGTCAGCCCGCTCTGGGGAGGTTGGATCCTGGAAAATTCTTTCCAGACTACAACTCCTAGGAAACCATTATATAAACCAGAAAGGCAACTCATTAAATTATACTCTCTGTTCCTATCACTGGATCCTTTATCTAGAAAGAGATATATCTAGGAAGCCATTATCAAGGTTTTGGGCCAGCATGAAATTAGATATAAAACAAAAGACTTTTAAAGTATATTTTATAAGCTAAAGTAAATGAGACTCTTTCCTACTCTTGGATATGCGTCTTTCAAGTAACCCAGAATATCTAAGCTCCCCAGACAGTGTTATTTCCCCACAGTTTGGGCCCTATTAGAACAAAATTAATGTATTTCTTTCTTGTCAGTTATTCCATAAGCAAATTTTAACTGGAAGTTTTGTTGGCACTGACTTCTAATATTTCTAATTAAAATATCAATAACATGATATCTGGATCTAAAATAGCTCTTTCTTGCCCTGGCTGGGTGGTTCAGTTGGTTGGAGCATTGTCTGGTATACCAAAAGCTTGTGAACTTGATGCCTGGTCAGGGCATGTACAGGAGGCAACCAACTGATGTTTCTCTCTCATAGCAATGTTTCATTGGTCTCTCTCTCTATAGATATAGATATAGATATAGATATATAGATATATATAGATGTATATATAGAGAGTATATTTTATAAGCTAAAGTATAGCTTATAAAGCTAAAGTATAGCTTATAAGCTATAGTATATATATATATATATATATATATATATATATATATACTAATCTCTCTCCCTACCTCCTCTACCTCTTTCCTCCTTTCCTCCCTCCCTTCCTTCCTCTCTAAAAAATGAACAAACATATGCTCAGGTTAGTATTTTTTTAAATAGCTCTTTATTCATTGAACTTTAAACTTCTCTAATTTAGATTTGACGGCACTTTTCCTATTTAAGTTGCAAAGATTCATGTATTTTATGTCACATTTTATATTATATTTAAAACAGTTGTCATCCAAATATTTATGATATTCTGCCCCTTATATTAAATCTTTTTAAGTTTAATCAACTGAAATAGCCAACTCAGAGGAAAACAATTTTGAAGAGGTCAGAGTAAATGTCAGAGACAAATGTGAAAGTATATGTCATTTTTGAGATAATGTTTCTGGCAACAATGTTTTCCAGTCATTGTGACTTACAATCACAAAAATTTTTCCTCATTCAGGGTAGCCTTTTGAATATCATCATCACAATTAATCAGCATGTGCCCCAGCTTCTACATAAGTAAGTCTTTTGATTCTAGTCAGGCTAATCCATATGGGGACTTTTTCAAACACACTTGGATTAAGGAGAAACCCAAGCACAAACACAAGCAGAAATGTCCACATGCATCCTTTTAGATCATAACTTCTTGGCTCATTTCAGCAAGATTCACTCCTATTCTCTCTTATTTTGAAGATTTTATTTTAAACAGTAGGAAGAGATATTTTTGAGGCAATGTTGTTCTAAGAGTAGAGAACCTATAATCACAGCACAGCATTACTGGGTAGGTCTCTAAGTCTCTTCTAAATGGGATGTCTCAGATAAGTAGAATCACTTGGAAAGGTATGAATATGGTTAACTGTTGTCAAATGTAGAAATGTAGTACCTGAGGTAGTAGGACTCAGGAAAATCACCAAGAAACTTAAAATTTATTTAACCTATTTAACCACAAAACTTTATTCTCTTGTTTTCAGAATCAAAGATAGTCTTCTTTTTCCCATTATCTCCCTCCTCCCTCCCCTCTGGTCACTGTTAGTATGTTCTTTATTTCCATGTCTTTGGTTCTATCTTGCTTGCTTGTTTGTTTTGTTGATTAGGTCCCACTTATGTGTGAGATCATCAAGGAATATGTAAAAGGACCCATGGACAAAGCAAAAGGGGGAAGGATTGAGGGTAAGGAGGGGGAAAATGGTGGCCAGAAAATGGAAGCAACTGTACTTGAACAATTAAAAAAAGACACAGTCTTAAATCCCCTCCTGAGCAGACTCCATAGTACTTTAATTTATTTAAAGTTCCATCTCTAGAAAGACAAAACCAAAGGCTTTCTATGTAGTATCAAAGAAATGCCACCAAAGAATTTTCATAGTTCCTTAAATTGAATTCCATGAAGCTAACCCCCAGGTATCTGATCTTTTGATTATCTTCTCACACTATCAGTGTAGAACCTATTTGGTTGTAACAAGTTGATCTTGGTGAAATGATGAGTAAGCCATATGACAGACAAACTACAATAGAATGAGCACAGGCTTTGGGTAGTAAGAAAAATTTTTGTTTTTATCCTGACTGTGTCATGTACTAACTGTGTGACAATGTGGTGGTGGTGGTGTGTTGTGGTGTGTATGTGTACATACACACATGCATGCATGCATGCATGAAATAATTGTTTAGCCTCTCCAAGACTTAGTTTCTTCATCTTTAAAATAGGAATGTTAATACCTTTTTTAAAACAGGAATTTTGATGAATGGAAAATGTCTAACATCTAAAAAATACAGCTTATATTTTCATAATTATTGAGGGTGGTGGTGGCTGGTAGTGTCAGGGCATATTTAATTTTGGTGGCTCCTCTGGTGAACAGACTTAAAAAAACTTATGATCTGTGGTTGACAGCTCTGATGGCCACTGCTAATTCTCTTTTCTGCCAGATTTATCTTCTAGAAATGATACATGCACAGTGAAACATTCTTTTTTAAAAAAACACCTCCTTTATTCCTGTCTCTTTTCCTTCTGACTCAACTGTAAGGCCTAATCACTGTCACTGCTGTGCTTTTACAATAAGATATTTATTATTATAGGTACACTTATAACTTATTAAAATAGTAACTGAAAGAGTGAAATACATAAGGGCTTATATTTTACCACAATATATTTTGTGCTTACTGAGGCTAAAGAATAAAATAAGAACAAACAATAATTTGTCAAAACTCTATATAAACTTATGAATCTCCATTTAATGAGAAAAATCTGTGGTCACCTTAAGGGCAGGAACTATTTTTTATTAATCATTTTTAATGGAATTGAATCAATTTTAGCAAACATGAAAGTGAGTCAAGCCCATTTATTAAATGTCAATATTTTTATGCCACATTTATTAAATGTGCATCATGAGTCAGTCACTAAATACAGAAGTAATATATAATTCCCAGTCTTTGATTAAATATGTACTGAGTTCCTCCTTTGCAACAAGGCATTAAGAAGGTGCTGGGAATGTTATGGTAAATACATCAGAAACTGTCCCAAAGGAGTTCAGAGTTGAAAGAGGCATCAGACCCACATATAAGGATCTACTAGGAAGTTAAACAAGGCATTGTATAGTCAAGTACTACATAGCCTGGTGAAGACTGTAAGTCACTAGGAATTGAGTACAGCAGAGGTTGACAATGCCTCTGTTTGACAGGAAACATCTGGTGGGGCAGGCTGGATTTCATATGAGCCTTAAAGGATGGGGAACATGTGTATGAACAGAGAGTGACAAATAGAGCATTTCAGGTGAGGAGAATATGAGCAAAAGTCTTAGAGGTTGAAGCATGACTGTGAGCATGGTGAACTGACTGGCTGGCAGAATGCTGGTGAGCAGTGGATAATATAGTTGGAAAGGTAGGGTACAGCTCAATGACAAAGACCCTGGGGTCAGACAAATGGGGTTGAACCTAGTGAGCCCTTGAAAGTCTTTGAGGAGGAGGGTACTATGATAGTTGGTGCCCAGTTCCAGAGTGGGTCTGGTGTATATCATATGGTTCACATGTTATGATTATTTGTTTTGTATGATTTTCACTGACTTTGTCTTTGGTTGCTATTCTGTTTCCATGTTAATTCAGAATATTATTTCTCATTTAGAGGAAGCACTGGCTCATCAGATCTTAATGGCCAGGAAGTTGGTCCTGGGACCCCAAAGAGCAGCCAGAGCAGTGGTATTACCTCAGTCACTCAGAGGTCACCAGCTCCAAGCACACCCAGTGTAACCTCAGTCAGCAGTAAAGTAAGTACACAAATGTAAAGGAACATCAGGCTTTTGGGACTTGACTTCACCACCATGGCATGACTGGATTTCATATCTTTGTATCTCAGTGCACATTATTGTTTACAGTGATTAATGGTAGAAGGTTCTTTATCAAGATTAAACCTCTTGCATCCTTAGCTCCTGACAGGAAAACTACAGTAAGAAGGAAAGGGAAGAAATGGGTTCCAAGGTGGAATTTGTATGATGGGGGTTTAAATGAATATATGGTTTAAATAAAATATAAATAATTTTTAGAAGTCTTTGATTTTGATTCTCCATATTACTTCTCAAGATACTATCAGCATTAAAAAATTTCCAGGCTGATTTAAATCAGGAAAAGTAGAATGTTGAAATCATTTTCCAGTTTTTTCCCCTATACATCTGTTAATGTAAGGAGTTGGTGCATAATGAAGACTTAAGTTGCATAAAATATGTGTGCATATAACATATTATATAATTTAGACACTGTTATTTTTAATGAATGAGCAAGCAGGAAACCACTTATATACAAACTACAGTTTTCTGAGTCAGTCAGTATTTAATAAGGGCCTGCTATATGCCAGGCCTGGTCACAAAAAGACTTGAAGAAAGTGAAGAAATCAGCCATGTAGGAGTCTGGAGCAAATAATTCTTCCACACCAGAACAACACTGATATTCAGCAGGTAAATTACCAGATGGATGTTCCAATTATTTATAGTCAGCATCATTGAAAAATTGGTGTCTTTGCTCACCCAGTGTTTAAAATATCTTCAATGCCTGTGGATGAACAGTGAGTACAAACATATTAGGAGTGAGCATGCCTGTGTGCTCAAGGAAGAACAATACAGCCTGTGTGGCTGTTTTAGTCAACAAAAGGAGTACCAGGAAATGAGTTCAGAGGTAATAGGGCCTTGTAGATAACAGTATGCACTTTGACATTTACTCTGGATAAGATGGAGGTAGTTGGAAGGTTTGAGCAGAGGAATGACATGATCTGGCTTTTGTTTATTCAGGATCTGGAGTCTCTGTTAAGAAGCAGCTGTAGAGGAACAAGAGTAGAAGCTAGGATACCATGGCAGAAACTGGGCTTCAGAACAGGAAGATAGAAGTGGAGGCTGTGAGCAATCAGATTCTATATATTTTTTTAAGGAAGAGCCAAAAGGCATTCAGACAAATTGAATGATGATAATTTAAACACTTACAGTCTAAACTGTACTTACTGATAAAAGAAAAGGTATATTTGAAATTTCTTAAATATTTATATTAAGGTCAGCAAGAAGTACTGTTCAATAGTCAGAAAAAGGGAGACTGAACAATAAGAGCAGGACACTGGTACAAGCAGGACACTGGCAGTATCTTGAGGCTCTTACATGCCATGCAATACCTGGATTATGGGGAAAACTAGGGTGGTGGAGGAGTGGGAACATAAAGGAGGGTAGACTGGAAGCAGTGCTGTTTACAAATAATACAGAAATCTTTAAAAAAATGTAACAGCTGGACAGCTGTATCAGTGGATAGCAATAGACTATCAGTTCAATAACCAGTAAGTCAAGTTTGTTCTCAAAACAAAGATTATCTTAAGTACCAATTTTTAGGGAAATAAGTCACCCTTGTTATATGCTAATACCCTCAAAATGAACATAAACAACACATATATTTCCCCAACAGACATTCCCTGGAACTGAGTTGAGTATATGTACATATATTTAGGTAGTTGCAAGTATTGATCTCACTCCTGCATTCTAGCTGATCCAGCTAGTCTTTTCTATGAGAGACAAATAGAAATATTTTATGTTGAATAAACAGAAGACAGAATAGTACTTTAAGAAGCACATTTGCTCCTTCATGGTGAAAGGAAGAAGTATAAAAAGTGAGACAATGATCAAGGTAATAACTTCTCAGTTTCTTCCATTTCTCAGCATTTCACTGTTTCAATATTCTTTAATACTTTAGCATGTGAAAACTAAGTTTTTAAAATGGAAAACTCTTATAACATGGAAGTCTCTAACCTGCCCTTTGCTATAATTTAACTTGTTAATTTTAGGTTTCACATTCTGAATCTCCAGGGTATGTATTGCATGTTAATGACTGTACAATATTAATTGGCCAATAGTGTTCAATGGTAATAATTCTCCCAGAGTACCAATTGAAAAATTTCCTGTCAATGTAATTGCCACTAAGGAAGTAGGTCTGGCTTCATTGCAGGAGTCTATGTACAAACAACATTTTGAAAAAGTGTTGAAAAGGGAACTAAACTAATTTATTTATTTGATCTCTGTCAGAGTCTTTTCATAAAACTTGGTGGTCTATGGCAATTAGTTGGGAGCTATATTCTTCCTGCTACAGGGAGTATGTATTTGAAAATAATCAAAGATGAAAAACAGTCTGTAATGAAGTTGCATCAATTAGCATACTAAGCAAATGAGAGCCATATTTCTCTGGAGTGAGATTATCAAAGTTTACCTCAGGTGTAAGTATGGGCTAAATATATGGCAACAAAGACAGAATTCCTCCCTGAAGGACTTTAAAAGGCATTTTTTATTGTTTATGAAAAGGGAAATTGAAAATTTTCTTTTAGGTGTGATTATTGTCTCACCATAGTGCCACTGACATTTAAACACAGACCAGTTACTAAAAAGTTCAAAATTAGTTGTTTAATGCTCATGCTCAGTTGGAGTAATGCAACAGTCGAGCCCTTAGTGGTCCAGGAAAATATGGGAGAGTTTTCCTTTATTATATGTTACAAGGAAAGCAAGTCAGAGTGAATTTTGCCACATACACAAGAATTTATTAGCAGGCAGGCACCCAAAAACCACCTATTCCTGTAAACTGGAAACATCTGCATTTTTTATCCTTTTATGAGCTTTGTTAAGTACCTTGCATGACAGTTTCATTCCAATAACAATGTAACCAACCATGTTCTGATTATTTAGCCTGTTAAATGTAAACGGTGGCATGGTCTTCTGTTAAATGGGGGTGAAGGAGGTAAGGTGTTGTTAAGGAGAGCGGGTGTTGAGAGTAGGGAAAAACATATGACCAGAGTTCTAAGTCTACTCTGAGGATACCACTCTGGAGGTATGAAGCTTGCCATATTCTTTTTTTTTAAGATTTTATTTATCTTTAGAGGGGAAGGGAAGGAGAGAAGGAGAGAAATATCAGTGTATGGTTGCCTCTCATGAGTCCCCTGCTGGGAACTGGCCTGCAACCCACGCATGTGCCCTGACTGGGAATCGAACCGTGATCGTGTGGTTCGCAGGCCCGCACTCAATCCACTGAGCTACACCAGCCAGGGAAGAAGCTTGCCATATTCTTATACATAGTTCATGTAAGTTTCAGGTACTTGTATCATCTTTCTTGCTAACCACATAGTAGAATGCTGACTAATTTGGTGAATGAAAAATTACCTCCAATGTCTTTTATACTAATTAACAAATCTCTTGGTATAGACGTTAGAGAGTAACTATTGATAGTAAGTTTTACAGTTATATGGACTCCTTACAAGGGTCCTCCAAATATCAGCTAGCTCCTCCTAAAGAGTATACACATAAATGTGGTTATACTGAGGCATATTTCTATGGAAACATTTTAAAATAAATTACTATCAATATAATGAGTTTTAATTTTTACTTTGTAAGAAGGAGCATGGTTTTGAAAATCCTTTGGATCTGGCTGCCACTGAAGGCCCCTCTGGGGATCTCACAAAAAATCATCGCAGAAACATTTCTGGCACACCTTCCATAGCATTGTCTGGGGCCTCCCTTTCCTCAGGTGGGTATTTAAAGTGACTGTTCTGTTGAATAAAATGACTAAATCAGGTGGAACTGACTCTCTTGTGTGGCATTAAATGGATGCTTCATGCCTTACAAGAAAATTGCCCATTCTTTTTGACTCATGGTAGTATGTCCACTCCATAACTACTTAAAAGTCATTCGAGGTGATGTCTTGAGCTTCTTACATTTATGAAAAATCATAAGTGTACACTTGCCAGGCATCACTGCCAAGTTTTAGAGCTAAACCAAATGTTAATATAAGACTGTAGGAAATATAATTGGCTCATTTAATACAAAAGAAAAGGATATTTGCCCAGAGTTCAAGGAAATTTAATTTTTAAAAAATTAACAACTATTGAAATATAGTTTACATACCATAAAATTTATCTGAGCATTGTCAATTTGCATTCACTTTTTAAAAAATTTATTTATTTATCTTTAGAGGGGAAGGGAAGGAGAAAGGGAGAGAAACATCAATGTATGGTTGCCCTTTGCGCATCCCCTGGGGACCGGCCTGCAACTCAGGCATGTGCCCTGACTGGGAATTGAACCGCGATTGTCTGGTTCACAGGCCCGAGCTCAATCCACTGAGCTATACCAGCCAGGGCCAATTTGCATTCACTTTTATTGCCTATTGGTTTGGATTTAATTCTACCATCTTACTTTGTATATTCCATTCACCTAATTATAGTTTTAGTTTTTATTGTTTCTTTTTCTACTGCCTTCTTTTAGATCACAGGTGGCAAACACAAGGCCCATGGGTCGAATCTGGCCCTCTACTTTGTTTTATCCAGCCTGGCACCTTGTTTCTACCTGGTGGCAGTGTTGAGCTCTCACGTAACTGTTAAGGAGTAGTTATATTTATACAGTCCTAAAACTACATTTGGCCCTTTGAAGGCAACTGTGAGGCTGATGTGACTCCCAATGAAAATGAGTTTGACACTCCTGCTCTAGATAGCTATCTTCAAAGCCCATTACATTTTTTCCCTTTCTCCTAGTTTAATATATATGCTGCTTCTATACTTTTTAAAAAGATTTTATTTATTTTTAGAAATAGGGGAAGGGAAGGAGAAAGAGAGGGATAGAAACATCAATGTACAGTTGCCTCTCACATGCCCCGCCCCCCAGCTGGGGACCTGGCCTACAACCTAGGCATGTGCCCTAGCCTGGGAATCAAACTAGCGACCCTCTGATTCGCAGACCCATATTCAATCCACTAAACTATGCCAGCCAGGGCCTGCTTCGATCTTTAAATGAATGTCTGGGGATTTTTAACATATATGTCTAACTTAAATTCTAATTTCTAACATACGCTCTAATGTTAACCCTTCTTGATTTGGTGATCAGCAATGCCCTATATCTAGACAGATTAATAATGTCATGGTTTAAATAATATATTATTTGCAAGCAGTATTGAGGTATTAATAATAACCCCTTTCATTTGTATGATACATTCAGACATATCATTTCACTTCATTATCACAATAGCCCTGTGAAACAAGTATTATGTTGCATTTTATTACTTATAAATAAGGAAACTCTTCAGAGAAATTGGTCATAATTATGAAGTTTATGTCCCATGTGTAGACTTAAATTGATGACAAAATCCTCAACATGAAAAAGTTACTTGTGACCTAATGATGATATTTGCATAGAGCCTAAATTCTGTGTGCTGAATTGGGCACTCTCTCCTAGCCAGATAGCTCACAAAGGGTTTTCTAAATGTGTGGCTATTATTGCTTGCATTTCGTTTAGGGCTAGATGATCATTTCACCTATTAAATGAAAAAATTTAGCCTAGAAGCCAACTTTCCCAGTGCATTTCTACTACTTCTACTGAACACCTGTTTATTCAGTACATACTCTGTGCCAGGCACTATGCTAAGTACTTCTGTATTATTTCATTTAACATTTCAAGCTAATTTATTTGATTGCTCTCTTAAATCTTTCTCATTTAAAAGCAACTATATTTATTTTAGCAAGGCTTTGACATAGAACTGTTCTTTGCAAGTAAACTGTGTCTTGGCAAGCTGTCTAGAGCATTACTGACTAGTGTATTGTTCTTAACTTTTCCAAAGCAAGATGTTCCTCTGATGAAAGAATGTGTTGGTGCCTAAATATTAGAACTTTCTCCCAATGTACCTATAGCCACTCCCTTTTCTGTGAATCCTCTAAACTTAAAAATCAAGAATGGCTAATGTGTTATTTCTTCTAAGTTTAGGGGCTCATTCTATGAAAATTTTTCAAAATCTATGAGCAAAACTATAAAGTAAGCACTATATGGCAGAGCATTTACTCTCCTACAATCAAAGAAAAAATGAACACATCAGTGTTGGTAATTCAGTCCAAGGGAATTTCAAAAGGCTATTAAAATGGAAGTATGTTAGCATAAATAGCACAAAGTTACTGAGTCTGACTGTTGCTTCAATAACACTATCTATTCCCCATGCATGAGAAGAATTTGAATAAAGATGAAAGATTTACAATGAAAAATGAAATCTTAAAAAAATGAGCTGATTTATAACTTTCCTTTTCTCTTCCTTTCTCCAGACCGAAGTCAATCCGAGTTAGATTTGAGTGGGTCATTTACAGAAGACTTAGAGGATACTGTAAATTTAAGAAGCAAGTCTGTCCCTGGGGCTTTAGACAAAGATGTGGTAAGTTGGATGTAGAAGAGAGTCTAATGATCATGAGGAAAAGGCACAATCTTGTTCCAAACCTGACCACTTTTATGTGACAATAAGTTAGAGTAACGTGAGGTCATATGATGATCTCTTCCTACTAGTCTTCACAACCAACATATAAAAACAAGTAATGATTGTTTAGTTGTTTTAGAAATGATTTAGAATGATTTAGAAAAGGTAAGAGATAATCAGGTTTTTCTGTAAAGATTATCCCCCAAGAAAACACCCACTGGGGATATCAAATTCTGCCTGAAAGCATATTACCTAATCTAAACCTGGGAAATGAGAAATATAAACATTTCCTAAATGAAATATTACTATATTTAATCTGCCTATGTATTTTATATGAATGTTCCTACATCTCAAGTTACCCTAAATAAACTACCTTCTTAATTGATACTAAATTATTAGAGAATTAATGTATAAGTAAACTCGTTTGTAAAATGAAAAGGTTGAATTAAATTATTGGTAAGGTTCCTTACATTTCTAATATTCTAATATTCTGAGTTCTATAATTGCTATAATTCCATTTGGATTCCTTGGAAGAAAGATATATTAAATGATATTAATATAATTTTTCCAAAGCAAGCCAGAAAACTTAGAGGTCTAAAATTCGATGCTATTTATAATAGTATAAAATATAGGAGAAGTATTTTAAAACCAACTACCAAAAGGGATGAGGGGTAATTAGATCAAATGATTTCCAAGTTACTCGTATTCAACCTTTAGAGAACAGCTAATTCCAGTATTATTGAATTTTTTTTTGATCTTAGAAAACTCTGGCCCTGGCTGCTGTGGCTCAGTGGATTGAGTGCTGGCCTGAGAACCAAACTATGCTGCTCTGACATTGGGGTGTATAGGTTCTTTTGACAGTGTTTCATGATTCTTAGGGTATACTCCCAGTGGTGGAACTGCCAAGCCAAAAGGCAGTTCTATTTTTAGGTTGGTTTTTATTTATTTTTTATTCTGAAACTTCATTTTACTATATATATATATATATATATATATATACTATATATATATACTATATATATATATATATACGTGTGTGTGTGTGTGTGTGTAATTGTTCAAGTACACTTATCTGTCTTTTACTCCCACCCCAGCCAACCCCCCCATTCCACACCATACTATTTTCCACAGTAGCTGCACCAATCTGCATTCCCACCAACAATAGAGTAGGGTTCCCTTTCACCACAACCTCGCCAGCATTTATTGTTTGTTGATTTGGTTATGATGGCCATTCTGACAGTGTTAAGTGGTATCTCATTGTGGTTTTAATTTGCATCTCTCTGATGGCTAGTGATGCTGAGCATCCTTTCATATGTCTCCAGGCCCTCTGTATGTCCTTCTTGGAGAAGTATCTGTTCAGGTCCTTTGCCCATTGTTTAATTGAATTGTTTGTCTTCCTGGAGTGGAGTTGATTGAGTTCTTTATATGTTTTGCAGATTGAACTTTTGTCTGAGATATCATTGGCAAATATATTTTCCCATATGGTTCGTTCCCTTTTGATTTTTTGATGTTTTCTTTAGCCATGCAAAAGCTTTTTATTTTGATGAGGTGCCATTTGTTTATTCTTTCCTTTATGTTCCCTGCTCTAGGGCATGTATCTGTGAAAATATTGCTGTGTGGAATATCTGAGATTTTCCTGCCTATGTTCTCCTCTAGGACTTTTATGGTGTCATGACTTATATTTAAGTCTTTTTTCCATCTTGAGTTTACTTTTGTATATGGTGCAAGTTGGTGGTTGAGTTTTATTTTTTTGCCATGTAGCTGTCCATATCTCCCAAAGCCATTTGCTGAATGGGCTATTTTTTCTCCATTTTATGCTTCTTCCCCCTTTGTCAAATATTAATTGACCATAGAGACTTGGGTTTATTTCTGGCCCCTCTATTCTGTTCCATTAATCTATCTGTCTGTTCTTATGCCTGTGCCAGACTGTTTTGATTACCATAGCCTTGTAATATAGTTTGATATCAGGTGTAGTGATTCCTTCTACTTTGTTCTTCTTTCTCAAAATTGATGCAGTGGTTCAGGGTTGTTTATGATTCCATATAATTTTTGAAATATTTGTTCTATATCTGTGAAATATGTCATTGTTATTTTAATAGGGATTGTGTTAAATCTACAAATGCTAATACCATCACAATGGACATTTTGATGATGTTAATTCTTCCAAACCATTAACATGGTATATGCTTCCATGTATTTGTGTCTTCCTTAATTTCTTTCTTCAGTGTTGTGTAGTTTTGTGAGTACAGGTCTTTTACCTCCGTGGTTAGATTTATTTCTAAGTACTTTATTTTTCTTGTTGCTATAGCACATGGGATTTTTTTCCTGATTTCTGTTTCTGATATTTTATTGTTGCTGTCAAAAATGCCTTCTATTTCTGAATATTGACTTTGTATCCTGCTGTTTTGCCAAATTTATTAGGTAGTAGTTTTTCAGTGAATTCTATAAGCTTTTCTATGTACATTATTATGTCATCTGCAAACGATGTCAGTATTACTTCCTCTTTTCCAATGTGGATGCATTTTATTTTTTTCTTTTTTTTTGTTTTTAAATTTTTTTTTGATTATGCTGTTACAGTTGTTCTATTCCCCCTTTATTCCCCTCCACCCTACCCCCCATCCCCACCATCACCCCCCTTTAGTTTATAACCATGTGTCTCAAGACCTTTAGATTCTATATTTCCCATGCTATTCTTGCCCCCCCATCTATTTTCTATCTACTGTCTATGCTACTTATTTTCTGTACCTTCTCCCCCTTCTCCTCCTCCCACTCCCCTGTTGCTAACCCTCCTTGAGATCTTCATTTCTATGTCTCCACTCCTGATCTAGCTGTCCTTTTAGTTTGCTTTTGTTTTAGGTGTGGTTGTTAATAACTGTGAGTTTGTTGTCCTTTCACTGTTCATGTTTCTTTAACTTCTTTTTCTTAGATAAGTCCCTTTAACATTTCATATAATAAGGGCTTGGTGATGATGAACTCCTTGAATTTGATCTTATCTGAGAAGCACCTTATCTGTCCTTCCATTCTAAATGAAAGTTTTGCTGGATAGAGCAATCTTGGTTGTAGGTCTTTAGATTTCATGACTTGGAATACCTCTTTCCAGCCCCTTCTTGCCTGTAAGGTCTCTTTTGAGAAATCCGCTGACAGTCTGATGGGAACTCCTTTGTAGGTGACTGTCCCCTTAGCTCTTGCTGCTTCTAGGATTCTCTCCTTCATTTTAATCTTGGCTAATGTAATTACGATGTGCCTTGGTGTGTTCCTTCTTGGGTCCAACTTCTTTGGGACTCTCTGAGCTTCCTGGATTTCCTGGAGGTCTATTTCCTTTGCCAGATTGGGGAAATTCTCCTTTATTATTTGTTCAAATAAGTTTTCCACTGGCGGCTGTTCCTTTCCCCCTTCTGGTACTCCTATAATTCAGATGTTGGAGCGTTTAAAGATGTCCTGGAGGTTCCTAAGACTCTCCTCATTTCTTTGAATTCTTGCTTCTTGACTCTTTTCTGTTTGGCCATTATTTGCTTTCTTCTGGTCCACTCCATTGATTTGAGTCCCAGTTTCCTTTTCATTGCTATTGGTGTCCTGTGCAATTCCATTCATTTCAATTAGTTTCGCTTTCATATGTTTGTCTAATTTGTCAGTATAATCAACCAGTTCTGTGAGGATCCTGATCACCAATGTTTTAAACTGTGCGTCTGTGAGTTTTGCTATTTCTTCATTGCTTAGATTTATTGGCTCTGGGGCTCTGAGATCCTCCTGCGCCATTCTTGGTCTGTTCGGGCCCTTTAAGAAGCGGCGCCTTGGATTCCCAGGTCACTGGGTTGTGACGCTGTATGTGGGGGCGTGGCCCAAGCGGGGAAATGGCGACCCCCTCTGCCGCTTCTCACAGCTGGGTGCGGAGGAGCAGTGCCTTAGGTGGTTCACCTGGGCCGGGCCGCTCAGAGTCGCTGGGTTATGATGCTGTATGTGGAGGTGGGGTCAGAGCAGGGAAATGGCGGTGCCCTCCACTGCCGCTTGCTGTGGGGACCTGCCGGCCTGGTCCAACCGCCCACTCCCTTGCCTGTCCACCCTCGCACAAATGCGCGACCTCAGTCAACACGCAGCCACGGGCCCGGCTGTCTCCCCCGCAGTCGCTGGCCTGGTTGCTCGCTGGGTCGCTCACTAGGTCTGACCCTGCGCCTGGATTCCGCCGGCCTGAGTGTGTCTGGCCGAGTCCTCCTGTGCAACCCTGCTCCGCCAGCCGCTGGTTTCGCCCCTTACCGGTCAGGCTGAAGAATTTGTTGTTAACGGACTTCCGAAAAGTTCAATTTTCTGTGTTCTGGCTGTGTTTTCTGTTGCTAATATTTAGTTTTCTCTAATCTTGGTTGTGTGAGAAGGCATGGCACATCCACCTATGCCTCCATCTTGGCAGAAGTCCCTATTTTTTTCTTGTCTGATTTCTGTGGCTAGGACTTCCAATACTATGTTGAAAAGTAGTCACAAAAGTGGACATCCATGTCTTATTCCTGATCTTACTGGGAAAACTTTTAGTTTTTTTTCATTGCATATGTTGTTGGCTCTAGGTTTTTCATACATGGTCTTTATCACGTTGAGGTATGCTCTCTACTCCCACCTTGCTGAGTGTTTTTATCATAAATAGGTGCTGTACCTTATCAAATGTTTTCTTCTCTATTGATAGGATCATGTGGTTTTTATCTTTCCTTTTGTTTATGTGATGTATCACATTTATTAATTTGTGAATATTGTACCATCCTTGCATCCCTGGGAAAATCCCACTTGATCATGGTGTATAATCTTTTTTATGTATTGTTTGATGTGGTTTGCCAGTACTTTGTTAAGGATTTTAGCATCTATGTCCATCAGCAATATTGGACTGTAGTTTTCTTTCTTGATTTTGTCTTTATCTGGTTTTGGGATTAGGATTATGCTGGCTTCATGAAAAGAGTTTGGGAGACTTCTCTCTTCTT